AAGGAAAAAGAGGAGGAAGAGGAGAAAAACCTGGAGGAAGAGGAGATGAGAAAGGAAGAGGACAAGGGGAAGAGAGAGGAGGACGACGAGAAGGAGTCCTCTGAAGAATCCGCTCCTGCTCAAACACAGGGCCTGACACAGGGGCAGTCAGAGGCCCCGGCTCCTGCACCGCAGCCGCCTCCCGCGGCACCTCCCCCAACCTCAGACCTGCCTAGTTCAGAACCCCCAACTGAAGAGCCCTTGGAGCTGGTGTCTGAGATGGGCGAATTCAGCAATGAGGACATCTGCCGCTATATTGACCGGAGCTTCTCCTTTTGGAAGGAGAAGGAGGCAGAACTCTTTGACATCTGACAGCAAATTTAGAGTTTAGTTTTGTGCCTGGATGCGCTCTGCCAGCCAGAGGCCAGAATCAGACAGAAAAGAACCAGATTCTCAAAAGGCTTGCTTCTGTGGGACTTTGGGGGTCCCTGGGAGGGAGGAAGTGTGGCCTTTGTAAGATTGGCTAGTCACAGGGCAAGTCAGGTGTTGTCCTATATGAAGCCAGGCAACAAAAGCTAACTAAGGAACTCTGGGTTCCCGAGGGCAGTACGGTTCTGTCTCTCCGCCTCTGGTCTTTCACTGGAATTGGCAGCTACCTCCTTGGCCACCTGTGCAGTATTGTGTGTGGTGTGTGATGTGCACAGACCCTTTCTATTCTGTTGCCTCCAAGGAATAAAGCACTGTTGTAGGCTGTGTTGGTGCCCCTCTCCCCGGATCATCATAGCCCCAAGTATGGAGCACACCACACCCCACCCCATTCCACTAAGAAAAGAGCAAGCATGGCCCAGCAGGTCCTCCATAGCAGATCCAGTGCAGCCTGGGTCTGCCTGAGATGTATCTGCCTAGAAATTCTGGAAGACAGACGTGGGGCCATGTAGCCACCTGCTTTGTGGGGAATCAGGACCCAGTAACTTTTCTGCATCTTCCTTTTTCCCTCCCTGTGATCTATCTGGCTTCACCTTTAGGATACTGGTCGGGTCACTGGTCGGGTCACTCAGAAGGCCCCTTCTGAGCAGGCCATCACCAAGTACCATTATCTGACTGCACCATAGGAGGTCACCTAGAGGGTCTTTGCGCATCCATATTCTGCTGTCCCTGAGTTCTCCATGTCTCCCGGGCTGGAAGTGCATGCCCCTGGCCTGCAAATCTCAGGCAAGCTGGTCCTGAAGCTGGCTGTGTGGTTGTGTTTTAGGAGGAAGAGCAGGAGGCTCGGCTGGCCAACCTGCCTGCCTGGAGGCGAGACATTCTTCGGAAGAAGCTGGAGGAGGAGCGGTGAGCACCTGGTGGAGGCTGCTTGGCGGGCGTGCATCTTGACTCTGGGGTTGTGATGCCATCTAATACTGTCTCTTTCTCATTCCAGGGAGCAGAAGCGGTAAGTATGGTACTGGCCCAAACCCGCTACTTCTTCCTACACCCAGTCACAGAGGCTTATCTCTTTTACTCCTTCATCCAGCCCATGCTTTCAGTCCCTGTACCATAAACTTTCAGTTCCCAATAGTGACATAGACCCTTAGTTGTTTAGCACCCACCCCTCAAAGTCTACTGCTCATGCTCTGATCACATTCTTAAGTTACCCAGGCCCTCCTCCGCCATCTTCTATCATTAAATCTTGCTTTCACCCACTGTGATGACAAACCTATAATCCCACTTAGTGGGTATAGGCAGGGTTAGGAGTTCAAGATTATCTTGGTTTAACAGTCAATTCAAGGCCAACCTGGCCTACAGGTGACATTGTCTCAAAACAAAAGCCTACCCTTGCTATCCTACAGTGCTGGTTTTTCTGTTTTAATTATGTGTATGTCAGCCAGGTGGCAGTGGCGCACACCTTTAGTACCAGCACTTGGGGAGGCAGAGGCAGGTGGATCTCTGTGAGTTCGAGGCCAGCCTGGTCTACCACAGTGAGTTCTAGGACAGCCAGGACTGTTACACAGAGAAGCCCTGCCTTGAAAAACAAACAAAAATTTTGTGTGTGTCTGCGTGTCTGTGTGTGGGTAAGTACACATGTGTGAAGGTGCCTATGGAGGCCAGAGGTGTCATATTCCCTTGGAGCTGGAGTTACAAGTGGTTATGAGCTACCCAGTGTGGGTGCTGGGAATCCAACCTGGGTCCTCTGCAGAGTAGTACACGATCTTAATTGATAAACCATCTCTCCAGCCCCAAGGACAGTTATTTTAACCAAAGATCAACAAACTTGATCATTTCCCCTCAACTTAATTTCTGTACCCAGGAATCTATCTACTGCCAGGCAGAAGTACAATGGGCAACACTTACATAATTTTAAATTTTGTGAGAAAATTTTATAAGATATAGGTAAGTTTAATTTTAATACTTTAACTTAATGTAGAAAATGTATTGAGAGTAATTATTAATGAGAGCTAGGCATTTGGCTCAGTCGGTGGAGTGCTTGCCCGGCATGCAAGAAAAAAAGAAGCTGCTGGGCATTGGTGGTGCACGCCTTTAATCCCAGCACTCGGAAGGCAGAGGCAGGTGGATCTCTGTGAGTTTGAGACTAGCCTGGTCTACAAGAGTTAGTTCCAGGATAGGCTCCAAAGCCACAGAGAAACCCTGTCTCGAAAAACAAACAAACAAACAAAAAAATCAGTCTCCAGTATTGCATAATTCTGGAGTCATGGGATTAGAGAGAGGGTTCAATAGTTAAAACACTTGTTGCTCTTCCAGAGGACTCAGGTTCAACTCCCAGTACCCACAAGGCAGCTCACAACCATCTGTAATTCCAGTTTTAGAGGATCAATGACTTCTTTCAGCCCCCTTCTGCACCGGGCATACATGTGATACACAGACATGGACACAGGCAAAATGCTTGTACACACTCAATTAAATGAAATTGAAAACAGAATAACAAACTCCCGCAGTGTTGGCACAGGCCTCTAATTCTAGCAAAGTTCAAACAGCCTTGTCAGCAAAGCCCCCCCCCTCTCTCATACACACACACACACACACACACACACACACACACACACACACACACACGACATTTTTCTTTCCCTTAAAAGAAAAAAAAAAAAAACCCAGTTAGGCAGTAGTGGTACACACCTTTAGTCCCAGCACTCAGGAGGTGGATCTCTGTGAGTTCAAGGCCAGCCTGGCCTACAGAGTGAGTGCCAGGACAGGCTTCAAAGCTACACAGAGAAACCCTGTCTCAAAAAAGAAAAGAAAGGAAAACACCAAGAAAAAAAAAAAAACTTGATTTTAAAAATACCATGTGCATGCCAATTTGAACAGTTTAATTGCTCAATAACGGAATATTATTAGTGGTGACCTGTCACCGAGTTGGGGCTCAAAGCTGAGTGTTCTAGGCAAGCACTCTACTGGGGAGCTATATCCCCAGTCCCTAGCCTTGTGTTCTGAGAAGCTGTCCCTAGCTAGCTTGCTGGCCTGTTCCCCAGTAATGAGATCCCCAATGGCTCAACACTATTCCCTGGTAATTTAGATTGAGGCTCCCTAACAACTCAAGTCCTGTCTCCAATGTCAGGCCTCCTGTCACTGATCCCCTCAACTCCTTAACATTCAATCCTCACACAGGGTCACCTAATGACCCAGCACCTCTTTCCTGTAACACTCCTCCGCAAAACAATCCAACTTCAGCCTCCACTTACCCATCTCTCCTGAGTAACCCTGCAACTCCAATACGACCCCATGAAAACCCTGGCTCCTAAGCAGAGAAGGCCCTGCTCTCATTAACTCCTCTGTCCCACTGCCATCCTGGTGTCTGGCCGGGCCCCAGTACCTGGCCTCAGGCATCACTGAGTTTTGCCACCCATAAACAGAAAAGAGGAGGAGCGACAAAAGCAGGAGGAAATACAGAAGGCGAAAGAACAGTCCGAGAAGCTGCGGACACTAGGCTACGATGAGGCCAAGCTCGCACCCTGGCAGCGACAGGTCATCTTGAAGAAGGGGGAGATCCCAAAGTAATAGGAGTCTCAGCCTTTTGCATGTGGCCTCACAAGTTCTGAGAGATGGGGACCGGTCCCCCAGCCCCCGCCCCATCCTGTCAGGTTGGTGCGGAAGGGCTGGGAGCCTTGCCACCCTTCCCTTCGGTGCCGGAACCCTCCCTGTTTCCCCTCCCTGGCCCCATATCCCCAGCCCTGCTGCTGGAGTGCTTGCGTACTGCTGTTGTCGCCTGGAAAAAAAGTGCCCAAGTCGCTGACGCAAAAAAAAGAAAGAAAAGAAAAAGAGCGAGAGAAAAAAAGACGCTGCTTATTTGCATGCTCACTTACATATATTTGCATGTTCGTCTGCCTTGCGCTGAGCTCTCCCCAGGCCCGTGGGTGGTGACTTTTCCTGCAGGGCGCAAGCCCGCCTGCAGCCCCCTCCCCCGCAGCCCGGAACCCACATTGCTAGCGCATCCTGGGTGGAGGCAGACCCCGAGCTCGGGGAAGGGGTTTTCCTCGCTCCACGACCCAGATCTGTGCTAGCCAAGGCCAGGCTGCATTTCTCATCCCCGACGAGGGTTTCCTCTCAGTCAACTGTTTACCAGAAACGATGAAACTTGCCTGCTGGGGCGGAGCTGCGGCTCCCGAGGGGCCCCAACTTAACTCCCCCACCCCAATTAAGCCCTCCTAGCCCCCAGCCAGGACCTTAGCGCTCCTCTGACCCTTTCACTGTCCCAGTGGTGTAAGTGGAGGGGCAGGGACCCTGCACCTGTACCTGCAACCAGGCCTGACCCCGTACCCCACCCCCTGCCTTCCCCATTAAACCTCTATCAGCCAACTGTGGCTCTCATTCACTCTCACTCGCCGTCTTCGTGACTTTCTCCTTCTGGGTCATAGCGGATGCGGATGCGGATGCATGAGGGGTTGGTATAGGAGCCAAGAAGGCCACTGGTTTCCACTGTGCGCCCCAGTTCCCGAGGCGTCTGGACCCCTAGCCCACTCAATGCCCCGGGAAACAAAGGGAACCAGAGCGTCACTTATCACCCCCAGACCCCACTGAAACACCAGGAAGCTACTAAAGATATTTAATACCAAGTCCAAACTCGGGCTGATAAACAGCTGTACAACCAATCACTTGGCCCCTCCTGGTATTTCTCCATGACGCTTCCCTTAGCACCATGGGGCAAGCAAGCAGGGTCGAGGCCAGCCGGCGCTGCTACGCAGGACCGTGCTAGGGGGTTAGTAAGTGACATAAAATGTCTACACCCATAAGTAACAATACTTAAGGTTCCTGCTAGGGTCACTAGAATGCCAAAGTGGCTGGTGGGCCTCACATCACGGGCCGTGCTGCAGGCGGCTGCGCAGGTCCTCCGCACAGCCTTCCAACCCCATGCGCTCCAGGGCCGCATAGATGGCACCCAGGCCTGCAGGCTGCTGCTGCCGCCAGCGTTTGAGCATCTCATACTGCTGGTCTCGGAAGCGGCAGATCTCCACTTCCACAGCCTCAATTTCTGCCTCCCGCAGCCCCAGAGTGCGCACGAACTCCTTCCACCGCCGTGCGGGGACTGCATCCATCACATCATAGAGCTGCGGGCCAGGCTGGAGCATAGCAGCCGGCGAGCCTGAAGGAGGCGCTGGCGAGAGCGCAGGTGTCAGAGGGAGGCCTGAGGTAGGGTCAGGGATATGAGGTTGCGTCCCAACAGGGGGCCTAATGGACTTATTTGGGGGCAGGGCAGACACCACCCAGTGAGGACAGGAAGCTGGCTGTGAAACAATAATGTCCCACCTTGGACTTGGGAAGATGGGGTCAGGCCTCAGCCACTTTGATCACTTACCAAGAGTTCTGTTTGGTAGCTGATTCCAGGGCTGTGGAGACTGGCTGCAGGCCACCTCCTGAGTGTGGGATAAACCAGGGGTCCAGTTGTTGCCTAACAACTGAACAGTGGTGCAGACTTTCCCACTGTCTTGAGGTGCCAGGAGGGTATGGGCGCTGTCTGAGGCGGAGAGATGGGTAGTCTGAAAGGTGGGAAGCACCAAGTCAGCCATGTGTGTCTAGACTGGCCTGTGACCTACTTTCTAGCCAGGGGTGGACATTCTCTGGCTCATTCAGGAAGCAGAATAGGCCCCTTACTTACTTTCTAGCCAGGGGTGGACATTCTCTGGCTCATTCAGGAAGCAGAATCGCTTCCCTAGGCTCCAGGCACACAGGTGCGCGCGCGTGCGCGCGCACACACACACACACTGGACACACGTGCACTTGCACATACATACATACATTCATACACACACATATACTCTGGGTTTACTCCTACCCCCCCACCTCACCCCATCATCCCCCCCCCCCGCCTGTGGCCCAGCAGAAGGGCTGCTGTATTTGCCGGAAGTCTATCCGTCTGTCCCCCAATCCTTTGGGGGTGCTCATCCCTCTCAATGTTAGGCCTGGAGCACTTGCCTGACTCTAGTGGACAGTCACTTGAGAGCAAGGGCTATGGCTGGTCTTTCACTGACAGCTCTTGGCACATTTGTCTGTTAGTTCTAACCTGTGCTAGCAACCATGCTGAGCACTGGGGACTGTAACTCCCTAGTTCCAGAAGCTTCCCAGTCCTGAGATAATTACCTGTGGTGAGGTCAGGGTCTCCATCCCAGCTGTGTCTGCTAACAAGAGACAGAGAGGCCAGTCAACAGCAGGCAAGGGCCCTGGACTTGTGGTGCCTCGAGTCCTTTCGTACCTCATACACGTTCCCTCAGTTTCCCTCTTCTGCATCAGTTCCAGGGGCTCTACCTTTGCCCCAGGCCTCTGGTAATACATGCGTGCAGTACATGCATGGACTTACCAGGAACCACAGGCTTGCAAGGCTGGCATCGGCAGTATAAACAGATCAGGGTGGGCCCAAGCAGGAATGAGGCCCCCAGAAGCAGCTGGACCCACAATACTGAAAGGACATAACTGGTGAGTGCCAGCTGGCGACCATCCCCTGCCCTACACTGGCCCATCCCAGCCTTCCCACTAGAAAGCCCAGCATTATCACCTACTCCACTTCCGGCCTCAGGTGCTGCTGGCTGTGTCTGTGGCTTCAGGGCAGATTCTGTGGAAACCCCTGCAAAAGGGGTGCGGGCAGGGCTGAGGGCTGTCCAGGACTGCCTGATACCTTCCCCACCTTGCAGGAGGTAGGGGCTTCCATCCTGTGGGCCTCCTTCTGCCTGGTCCCTAAGTATTGCTGAAATGTCACTCAGGTCACTTTATTCAACTGTCATTATGGGCTTCTACCCAGACCCCACAAGAATGGCAGTTTTCATCGTTAGCTCCTGGGTAATCCTAGCGCCTGAAATTACTCAGTGTCTTGGAGGCGGCAGATGCTCCCCCTTACTCCAGCCCTGGGAAGAACATTACAGCGCCGCCCCCCGTTTAGAGGGAAAAGGGAGATCTCTCAGCTTGCCAAGGACTAGAAGCTCAGTGGGAGCTTCAAAGCTCTGTCAGTCAGTGTGACCAATAAGTGATAAATCCAGCCTAACTAGGGTGTGGGAGGCCTGAGGGGCATTCGGGCAGAAAGTGGGGGTATGCCCTGTTATGTAATCCTTTACCTCTCGTTATCTGAAATGCCCCGTCCATGACAGAGCCAAGCTGCCACCACCTATATCTTTTCCCATCTCTAAACCAGAAGCATCTGTCCCCAAAGTCTCCACCCTGCTCCCAGTCTCCCTTCCTTCTGGCCCCAGTACAGCCCCCTGTGTGGGCAGGATGCACAGCCATTGCCATGTTCACAGGGCCCGGCAGATCAAGAGATGGCTTATGTCAGGGCAGAAGAGGAGGAAGCTGGAAGGGCAGGGCGTAAGGATAGACAGCCCAGGATGGGGTACTCACCGGGGGTTGGCAGAGCAGCACAATCTGAACATGAAAAGCAAGGAAAGGGTGAACCTTCCCTACAGGGCTCGGTGGAGCAGACAAGCCCTGACTGGCAGCCACAGCGGGTGTCTGACACGGCTGAACAGTTCTCCAGGGTCACTTGAAAAGCTGTCGGGGTGCAGGTATACAGGAACACGGATGTGTCTGAGCTACTGGCCTCCACAAAGCAGGGGACAACTTCCCAGAGAAGGAGGTACTAGCTGGCCCCACAGGTAGAAGTAAGGCTGCTCATAGATGACCAGAGGCCAAGGCCTGGAAACAGGAAGGCCACCCGGGAAGGGAGAAAGACACACTGAAGCAGAACACATGGTGGACTTGGTGGACTGAATACCGGGGCCTCACACCCACAGGCTGGGCCCAAGCCAGCTTTCTGAATGGCCCTCTGTCTGCAAGAGTCCCCCGAGCCCTGGACAGCCCCCTCACCCATTTCATCACAGGCTTGGCAGCGGGTACAGTCTGACTTAAAGTGGTTTCCCCAAGTTAAGAAGGTGCCCCGAGGGCAGGGAAGGCAGGTGGCGTTGCCGCATGGCTCTGTGCAGGAGGTCTTCATGTAGTGTCCTGCGGAACCCCCAGCAAGGGGCAAGCGTCAGAGTCAAGCCATTCTAATGGTCCCGCCCCCCCCCCACGCCTGTCCCTTCCTATCTCTGGCTCTCTACTTCCTTTCCCCCCTGTGGCTACTCTCCCAGCCTCCCTGGACCCCATCCACAGCCTGGCTCACCCCACCCCCACCCCACCCCACCCTGCTCAGCCCTCCTTGCTTCACCCTTTCCGTCCTTCCAGCCACCTACCTTCTGGGCAGCCCCTGCAACAAAAGGGGCCATACCTCTTCTGTGAGTCCCTGGCACAGTCACACCTGCCAGAGGTGCCGCCCTGGCCCTGGCCCCCAGGCAGCAGCAACAGGAGGAGGAGGAAGAGAGCCTGGGGAACATGTGTGGCTGACCTCTGTGTGGCTGCCCCAGGAGAACACCTCTCCCTCCCGGGCTCCTCCTCCATTCCAGGGTCCTAACATTTGCCTTCGGAGCAACTCACTTCTCTCCTGGGCAGAATGGGGTGCCCATGGGGAGAGGGAGGGGGAGCAGCTTTCTTCTGTCTTGTCTACAGACCCAGCTTATGAACAGCAGAGGATGGCCCCTTGCCAGCCCTTTGCCCATTTCCCCTACACCCATCGAGACTGGGCCACCCTGCCCCCATTCATGCCTTCTGTGAGATGGAGGCCCCCAGACCCCTATTTCCCCAGAGCGAGAGCCTGTGCTTCCTCTTAACGGAAGGGCACGCCCGAACCTCTAACTAGGTCGGCGGGTGGAGGCAACCCAGCCCTCAGAGAGGTCGGAGTTGAGAGCAACCCCCACTCACCCCCATGAGAGGCTTAGCTCTGGGCTGCAAGTCAAGTTCCAAGCTGTTTCCTGGACTCCCTAACCCCACTCACCTCCTTCATGCATCCCCACGGCAGTGGCTCCATGGCGGTCTGCACCGCCTTTGAGTGCTACTCTGGTACTCTGGTGCAGTCCGGGGCTTCCCCACTAGCCCAGCCCGTGTTCCTAGCCCAAGGCCTGCCCGCCTGCGCCATCCAGAAAAGCCCGCCTCAGGGAATGGCCAGGGTGGGGTCAACCGCTCTTCGACAGCTAAGGGGGCGTGACTCTCTGGTACACTTTGGGCACTGGAAGCTGATACAGGCTTTGACCAAACCCATAAAGGACAAGGCTGCATCCTAGCCCCACCCTGGGTCTAGCTCCAGCCCTCAGAACCATTCTTAGAGGTAGGTCTGGGGCAAGTGTCTTTTCTCTGTCCCTCAAGTACTTGGGATGGGGTCAGGAAACCTAGGTAGGAGACCTACATCTCCCTGAACAGCTGGGTGTGGGTCCTGGGATCGACAGAACCCTGAGTTTGAAGGAACACCCTCTAGATTCTAGAGTCTAGGAGGGTTCGGCAAAGGCAGGCACAAGCAACATTTCCTGAGGGTTCCGATTAATGGTTGTCTCCTGGCTGTGGCAGAAGACAGGTTGGTCTTGGTGCACAGTGTCTTCCACAGGGGCCCCTCGTCAGCTGGTGAGACAGCCCCGCCCCCACTCCTCACCCCTCAGCCCGCTCAATGCACATGAGCAGAAAACAGCCAGGGTTTCAGAAGCACAGCACTCTCTCCAGGGAGTATATACAAGTCTTTATAAAAAGAGCCAAACTCAATAAATACGCAGCTTGACAGAGACCAGCCCCAGCCTCAGAGGCCAGCATGAGTCCAAAGGAGGAAGGCAGGGGGAAGGTAGCTTAGGAACCTAGCCCAGAGGATTAGGGCTGGCCGCCTCAAGAGCAGAGGAAAAGGGCAGCCGGGCTGGAACTCGACGGGCCCTTCTCCATTCCATCCTGTCCAGCAAAGTGCAAATTGGCCATCCTGCCTGGCACTCCAGCACACGCACGGGCGAGGCAGCAGTGACGCAGGTGCCATGTCCCCAGGCAGCATGCTCTCTGCTGTCCCTAGTCAGTGGCACCCTTGGGATATCCTTCAGCTCAGACCTCCCTGTAAGGGGTGGGGAGAAAGTCCATCCTTGGTGGAAGCCATTCACAAAATGGCTTTAGCTGACCTTCCTCTCCACCACGGTCCTTTGTCCCCTTCACTGCTGCCTGCTAGACACCCCCACCTGACTGGGACAGGTCTGAAGCCCCTTTTCACCACTCCATCCCCAATTGCTGATGCTTGCAGTCATGGCTGCTGCACTACCTACTCCCAAGACTCGGTACTACCCACACCTGGGCACTGAGTCATCCATCCGCTCCTCCCCCAGCCGGGCCACTCACGAGGCAGTGAGCGTGGAGTTAAGCAGCAAGGTGGTCCTGATCCGATAGAGCTGGGCCAGGGTCAGCTTCCTGTGCTGAACGGAGATCCCTGGGGGAGGCTCAGGCTGCACGCTGGGAGCAGCCTCCAAGGGCGTTTCTCTCCTGGCAGGATCTGTAGGTCCCCCAGTCAAGCTGCTGACACTTTTCTCAGGTTGTGACAATTCAGAGCCACAGCCGGTGCCACATGCCCCTGGGCAATTCCAGCCAGGCCCACCCTCCTGAAGGGAGCTCCGAGTCCTCACCCCAGGGGCCACAGAGATCAGGCACAGTTCTGACAGACTGCGGCTAGGGGCTGGGGGCGCTGCGTGGGCGGCGGCCCCTGACAGCAACTGCAGGAGGCTAGCCTCAGATTTGGATTTGAGCAGCTGGGGGAGACGGGGGAGCAGCTGGACAGGAGTACGGCGGCGGAGGCGGGGAGAGGACGGAGATGAGGGGGTCTGTGGTAACTCCACGGGCTGGGGCACAGGCACCGGTGGCTCTACCACAGGGGGTGGAGCTGCAAAGTCTTGCAAAGAAGTGGGAGACAGGGTGCCATAGGCAGAGTCCATGGAGCAAGATCGGCCGTCCACTGGGCCCAGAGGCAGCAGCTCGCTAGTGGGAGTAATGGATGAAGCAATGGTACTGAGGGAAGTCTCGTCTGACTGGGAGCTGAAGGGACCGCGGTCAAACTCCGGAGATGACAGCGTCTCCCCGGGCTCTATCACAACCATGGCCAGGGTCTCTGTGGAACCATCTGAGGCACTGTAGGGGCCAAAAGGAATGTCAGCCAGCCAGGAGATACCTAAAAAGCCTAAAGCAGCCGAGAGAACTAGGAGCTCAGGGCTCAGAGCTTCAGCGCCCTCTCCTGACCTGGAACACCTGTTACAGGCTGCAGGCGGCTACATGCAGCAATCATGTGGGACACTATGCGTGTCTCCATGCGTGGACACTAGCAGGAGACAGAGCTGTCCCCCGCCACTCCCACGGGGTCCACAACATGACTCTATTCAGAGGGCAATCCCTATCTGTGTCCTTAGCTGGCTGGGGTAACTTGTCTTGATGGACCCCACTGAATGTTTTTATTCTCTGTGTGTGACCTGGTCTAGCTGTGTAACCCTAGAGCTCCCTAAAGAGACCAGGTTGGCTTCAAACTTGGCAATCCTCCTGCCTCCACCTCTCAAGTGCTGGGATTACAGACATGTACCTTGGCTTGGTGGGTAGACTGTATGTCTGTCTGTCTGTCTGTCTGTCTTCTCTTTCTCTTTTTTCTTTATTTCTTGAAACAAGGTCTCACTTTGCTACCCAGGCTGGCATAAACTTGGGGTAATCCTCCTGCCTCAGCTCTCTAGTGCTTGCCAGGCAGTCTTGGAGGAACATACCCGTGCTGAGAGTTGAGGCTGTCGCTGCTCTTCCGCAGGATGGTGGGGGAGCTGGCAGCTGAGGCACTGCTGTCCTCACCCTCCTCGTCCAGGCTCCGCAGGGGCTGGCCGCCTGGATGCTGTGCACGCAGCTGCTGCAGCTGGTTCTGCAGATCGGGTGGGTACAGGACAGACACAGAATGAGCTGGGAGAGACAGACCCCATTTCCCTGCACCCCTGCCACTGTTCTCACCTGTGCATTGTAAATAGTGTCCACCCAGCTTCGGCATAAGGCCTGGCTGCTGGCCTGGAATGTGTATGCCCCCACAGCACTGTGGAACTCACTCAGGTAGATGAGGAGGAAGGAGCCTGTCATAGAAGGGCCAGGTGAGTAGGAGAGCCCCTGCCCATGACACCACTAGACCGGGAGCAGGGGGCCAGAATTCCTCACCAGGGTCCCGAAGCTCCCGGCACACGATCTTGTCCACCAGCAGTGGTGGCCTGATGACCTTGGTTCTCTCTGCTTTCTTCACAGCCTTGGTTACCAAGAGTAGGTCAGTGAACAGGAAACAATACACATCCATCTGTGGTGGAGAAGCCAAGGGGATAGGGTCACGGACAGGGTCCCGAGGTGGCTGAAAACCTCTGCTGTTTTCCAAGACAGGGCTTCTCTGTGTAGCCCAGGGTGGCCTGGAACTCACAGAGATCCACCTGTCTCTGCCTCCGGAGAGCTGGGATTAAAGGGGTGTACCAGGGCTGGAGAGATGGCTCAGGAGTTAAGAGCACTGGCGGCTCTTCCAGAGGTCCTGAGTTCAAATCCCAGCAACCTTATGGAAGCTCACAACCATCTGTCATAATGAGATCTGGTGCCCCCTTCTGGCCTGGAGGTATATATGCAGACAGAATGCTGTGTATATGTAATAAATCTTTAAAAACAATAAAGGTATATACTACCATACCTGGCCATTTTACTTACTAATTTAAAGCCATTTTAACCTTCATTTGTATGAGTGTTTGTCTGCATGCATGTGTTCCACATGTACACCTGGTGCCTGAGGGATCCCATGGAACTGGAGCTGTACACGGTTAGGAGACACTATGTGGATGGTAGGAACTGAACCAGGTCTTAGGCAAGAGAGGCCAAGCACTCATAACCACTGAGCCATCTCTTCAGCACCTGCCACAACCTTAGCTGGGAGCTGCTTTTTGTTTTTGTATACATGTGTGTACCTGTGGCCACACAGATTGGTTCTCTGTTTCTATTCAGATCATCAGACTTGGCAGTCAGTGCCCACTGAGCCCAGTTTTTGTCACATTCCCCCCATTTCCTACCAGGAGCCTCAAAATTAAAAGTTTTTTTTTTTTTTTAATCAGAAACACACGTCTTGAGTGTGGTAGAAGAGGCAGGGGGATCGCTGTGAGTTCAAGGTCAGCCAGGACTACACAGTGAGACCCTGTTACAAACAAACAAAAAAAACCAAAAAGATACACATTTATGATTTATCTCAATCATAGTACATTAATAATACAATAAGTGAGTTGGGCAGCGGTTGTGCACGCCTTTAATCCCAGGGCTGGTGAGTCTGAAGCGGGTGATCTCTGTGAGTTCAAAGCCAGCCTGGTCTACAGAGCCACTGAGTGAGTTTCAGGACAGCCAGAGCTACACAGAGAAACCCAGTATTGAAAAACCATAAGGAAAAAACAAACAAGCAAAAACCCAGTAAGTGGTTAGGTATGCTGTGCTACACCTGTAATCCAAGCACTTGGGAGGCAGGGGCAGGGAGATCTGTATGAGTTTGAGGACAGCCTGGTCTACAGAGCCGGATCCAGGCCAGCCAAGGCTACATAGTGAAACACTGTCTCAAAACAAAAGAAGACAAAATAACAGCAAATTGAGTACAAGCCCAGCACCTTCAACTACACAGTGATTTTGCCGGCTACATGAGACCCTATCTCAAAAAAGCAAATAATGGAAGAGAAAAACATGCTAGGAGTACAGTGCCACAATAGAATGTTTGTCAGCATCCTTGAGGGCCTGGTCTCTGTCCATCATAAAAGAGCAGAGCGGCTGGAGAGATGGCTCGGAGGTTAAAAGTACTGGTTCTTCCAGAGGTCCTGAGTTCAATTCCCAGCAACCACATAATGGCTCACAACCGTCTGTAATGGGACACAATCCTCTTTCCCGGTATGCACGTAAACATGCAGACAGATCACTCATATACATACAAAACCTTTAAAAATTTATTTATTATGTATACAGCATTCTGTCTGCATGTATGCCTGCAGGACTGAAGAGAACCCCAGATCTCATTACAGATGGTTGTGAGCCGCCATGTGGTTGCTGAGAATTAAATTCAGGCCCTCTGGAAGAGCAGTCAGTGCTCTGAACCTCTGAGTCATCTCTCCAGCCCCATAAACAAATCTTTAAAAAGAGGAGGAGGAATAAAAGGGAGGTGACATTAAAAATCGTGATTTGCAAGTACTTATCTACCAGTAGGCTCAACAGTAAAGTTCTGGGAAGCTCCTGGCTTTGCAGAACATGCCCCTCCCTGTCACTTTCAAGGGCTGTGACCCCGCCACTGTACTTTGTAAATTTTCATCAGGCAACCATCTCTTCTGTAACATCTGTGACATGTTCTTAGGTCACCACACTGATTAGTTTCTTTGCTGTTGTTCCTTGGGACAGGGTTTCACTGTATAGCCATGGATGTCCGAGAACATGCTGGGTAGACCAGGCTGGTCTTGAACTCACAGAGATCCACCTGCCTCTACCTCCCGAGTCCTGGGATTAAAGGCAGGCACGCCTACAACCCTGGTTAGTTTGCTAATTTGACACAGCTAGGGTCATTAGGAACAGGGGCAAATACTCCCATCAAACTAGCTAGCAGACAAATCTGTGGGGCATTATCTTGATTAATGATGTAAGCCAGAGAAACCCTTTCCTACCCAAATTGCTTGTGACCATGGTATTTCATCACATCAATCAGAAGCAAACTACGACAGCTACCGTACAATTAACTAGGCAGCAATGAGCCACTGACTGCGGCCTGGGAGAGACCTCAGCAAGGATAGTACCTACAAAGCAAGGGTGGGTGGGACAAGGGCTCTGGTGTGGGATTGTCCTAGGGTCACCTTGCTGTCTCTCCCCTCCTTCATCCTCAAGCTCCCTTCCAGCAGCAGCTGCCGAGTCTCTTCAGGGGAGGCGCCAGGCATGGGTGCTGTCAGGTCCAGATGTAAAAATTCCTTCAAGAGCTTTAGATGGGGGTGCAGATGTCAGAGAGTCCAGGGCCAAATCTGAGAGGCCCCCAAGGGAGATCTGCAACATCGCCTCCCGCCCCCCACCCCCGCTCCGAGCGCTCGCCCAAATGGGTGCTTCCAGGACACCAGGGAGTCAGTGCCCACCTTATCGACCTCGTCATTGCTGCCCTCCACCACCTCGTAGGCATCGATCCGGCTCACCACCCCTGCCAGCCGCTGGCGCTCCTGACGCTGCCGCATGCACGCGTTCACGTGGTGGATGAAGCGTTCCACGGAGCCGATCTGAAGACAGGCGATGGGGTTTAGGGCCGGGATCTGGGAGAGACGGAGCCTAGGAGGGCAGTCTGTTCACAATTCGGGTTACCATGGTGATCACTGCTTCCTTGGCGCGGGGCTCGTCAGTCTTCCTCAGCACTGACTTGAGCAGCAGTGGGTATTTGGTGAGTCGCTGGTGGGGCTTGGCCAGCATGTCGCTCAGCTTCAGCCGCTGACACTGCTGGTGCTTCTCAGCCCACTGCGGAGCGGGGGGCGGAGCTCAGGGTTAGCCGCGCCCCTCTCGGGCCCCGCCCACCCAGCACAGGCCTGCTGCACCCTGAGCTCCCAGGCCCTCACCGTGACGTAGGCGCGGAACAGGTCGTTGTCACGCAGTAGGCCGCGCATGTACTCCATGCAGCCCTCCTCCTCCATGCAGTATCGGATGTAGGGCTTGAAGAGCGAGCCGAACTGGCCCAGGGCAGAACCACAGCGCCCGTTACCTCAGGATCCCAGGGGCCCCAGGGGCTTCCCGTACCACCCCGGCGGGGCTCGAAGTCACGCCATATACGGCCGGGTGGCAAGGACTCAAACCCAGGCCACCAATACGAACTACTTCCTTTCTTGGCCAGAGGTAACCTGGGACTAGGGTTAGTGGGAACTGGAGGGAGGGAGGGAGGGAGGGGCCGGCAGGACCTAGCCCCCGGCTTTTTCAGGGCCCTGCCCATACCATCTTGAAGCCTTTGAGAAAGTCCCCAGGCTGCAGCAGCGCCCGCGTGCGCCGCGCCTTCTCCAGCACCGGCACCATCACGCTGCCCCACAGCCCGCGGTGCAGCCGAGCGATCTCAGGGACAGGAGCCCCGACTCTTGCAGGTTAAGAAGGCAGCACAGGAACAGCTGTAGGGGGAGGGGACGCTGCAGCAGGGATGTGGGGGGAGGGGGGGCTGTCCCGGCCCTGAGGTCCTACCCAGACTCTTAGTTACCCCTTGCCCAGAAGGCTAGAAGCAGCCAGAGATAAAGAGGGTGTTTGCACCTCCACACCGAAATGCCAACCCACCCATGGTCCAACTGGGGAAGGGGTCACCCTAACCGGCCCGCCATGGGGAGAGCTAGTGAAGAATGGTTTCTCAGCAGAGAATGCTGAGGAATGCTCCGTCACCTCTGCCCGGGTTCCGCCTCCTCCAGGGCAGGTGCTACCTTCCCCAGTTGAAATCCCCCAAGTGCCAGCCAGGGTGTCGGCTCCTGGGAACCTGACTTCACAGCAGGTGTTCAGAAACAGCCGTTAAACAACTGGGGCCTCACCTAGGTTCAGTCAGCTTCACCTGGCCAACATGCCCGCCGTCCCTCCCAGGCACCTGCAGGGATCACTCCCTGGATGCCGCCTGCAGCTGCTGTTTGACATTGTCAAGCAAAGGCACAGCTCAGCTGAGGTTACACTCAGTTGGCCTCTGCAGGAGGGAAAGCAACAGGGACCGGCCCCACACTCACGCTGGTGATCACACGCAGCTTCCGGATGTAGGAGACTTCCGTGTGCAGGAGCTCCCACACTGCCTCCTGTTGGTGGCACTGCCGCCGGGTCAGCTTCTAGAGGGACGGGCAGGGCAGGTTAGCAGTAGCCTAGGGTGTGTGGGGCAGTCAGGGTGGATGAGCAAACCTACATGCAACTTCCTCGATTTCTTCACAGGGAACAGAGATCTGGAGGGGGAGGCCGCCCTCCCCGTCACGCGGTTATGACCAGTCCGTCCACGACGGTGGACCTCCTCTACCTCTCAACAGCCACACCCACCTCATGCCCATCAATAAGCTCCCTCCAGCTGTCCTCCAGCCGCAGGCTTGCACTGTCTTCATCCTCCTCATCCTCCTCCTCCTCCTCCTCCTCCCAGGAATCATGGTCAAAACGCAGCCTCCGGGGCATCCTGGGTAGCCCGAAGAGGCTATAGGCATGTAGCTTGCTCTCCAGCTGTTCCATCTTGTCCACTTCCTGGAAGGAGACCCAGGGCCAGGGTCAGGGTCGGGTCGGCTAGTGGCTAGCCCTGAGCCCACGGCGCCACATACCCGACCAAAGGCACTGGTGCTGGGGCTGGAGCTGAAGAAACCGCTGAAGCGACTGGCTGCCCGGTTCTTCCAGCTCTCGTTGCTCCCACTGCTGGTGCCTCCACTGCTGCCAACAGGCAGAGAACAGCTGGAAGGCGTGGAGGGCTCCTGCCCGGGGATGCTCGTCTCCCCCAGGAACTCAGACATGTTCTTGCGGCGGCGGCCAGGGGCCTGGCCAGGGAGGAATGGTCAAGCAGCTCCCACCAGCCCCACAGCTCCATACCAGGGTTTCCAGAACACAGATCAACCAAGCAGGCAGAAGTGTCTGCATCCTTGACCCAGGGTACCACCTCCACTGAGATCCAAATGTCCAGACACAGGTTTACCTCAACTACTGTTCCAAGCCACCCTGTTCCAGGCCACCCAGCTATAAGCAGGAAACAGGTAGGAAGAAACTCGGGGTTTTGCAAGCACGAGCGTGCACACACACACTCAGGACCCCCCCACAAACAGAGCTTCAAAAGGTCCACTGGAACTAGGGAGATGGCTCAGCAGTTAAGAGCTCTTGCAGAGGACCTGGGGTTGGTTCCCAGCACCTACTGCCTGTAATAATCCAGTTCCAAGGGATCTACTGTTGTTACAGCCGCCAAGAGCACTGAATGTATGTGGTACTCATGCATACATTCAAGGAAAGCACTCATACACATAAAATAAAAAATTTTAAATTTAAATGTTAAAAAAAAGAGAGAGGGAAAGAAAAAGAAGAGTTGGGTGTGAGGGTGCGTGCCTTTAATCTCAGCTCTTGGAAGGCAGAGCCTGTGTGATCTCTGTGACTGTGAGGTCAGCCTCTGCTATACAATGAGTTCCAGGACAGCCAAAACCACACAGTGAGACCCTGTCTCAAGGATAGACAGAGACACACGGATGATAGGTGATAATAGATAGATGATAGAGACAGACATAGATGATAGGTAGATAGACAGATAGACATATAGATGATGATAATAGATATAGAGACAGACATATAGATGACAATAGATGATAGACAGAGACAGACATATGGATAGAGGATAGGTAGGTAGGTAGAGAGGTGATAGGTAGATAAATAGATGATAGACAGGCTGATAGGTAGGTAGATAGATGGACAATAGACAGTTAAGAACAACAGAAAAAGACGAGACCCATAAAACACTCATCCCAGTGGGTGACATATTGTGACTTGCCGACACCGATGTGCTGTTGCTAACTATCATTCCTTCTGCCCCACAGATAAACATAACCATGCACTCTGACTCCCTGGGCACTAGAACATTCAGGGACAAAACACACCATCTAGACTAGTTACACACAGAGAAACCCCTGTCCTCACAGCCAGCCACACCTTGCACAAGTGGGACCTAAGCCCCAAGACGATGGAGTGGGGACTCCAATATGATTCTTCCTTAGGAGGTGCCCTGCCCGACCCCCATCCCGACAGGCCCTCCTCCTCACCAAGATGTCCAGACTATTCTCTCGGCGGCTCTGAGGGTCCACACGCTCTGTCACCGGGGGCCCAGCCCCAGTGGGCCTTAGGATGGGCAGACTGAGAGACTTGGAGTCCTTCACTCCCTGCTCCACTTTGCCCTCGTCTCCTGGCTTGGCTAGGGAGGCATGTGAAGCACAAGAGGCCCTTAGTGCCCGGGTACGGGAGACACAGGGGCCGAGTCCCTCCTCCCCTGAGGATTCGAGTCTAGGCCTAGTTACCCTCCCTGGAAGCCCCACCCTTCCAGCACCAGCCACCAGCACCCAGCAGACACCTGTATGTTAATGAGCCAGTTCAGGAGCATGGCCAATGGGAACCTGAGCCCAGGAAGGACTCCACAGCCAGGAGGCCCCAACAAGCCCCGGCCACTCCACCCAGCTAAGTGGCCCCGTGGAGCCTGCTGCTCTGCTCACCTTTGACCCTCAGGTAGTGTCCTCCAAACCTGTAGGCCTCAAAAGTGAGGGACAGAGGTGTGTTGGATTGGTCCAGGTATATGTCCACTTTACCCAGGGAGATGCCCTTCCTTTCAAACACAGGTAGCAACACCTCCCTGCCCCCCAGGAAGAAATGTGTGTTTTAGGGGAGCAATCATGTGACTCTCCAGCCCATCCACAGACACAGCTCCAGCCACCTCCCATTACAAACCAAAAAAGCAGCACAAACAGCAGCATCACACACAGGAACACGGACCCCACCCCCGGGGCCTTATAGACCCCTCTCAGGCACAGGTGCACAGTCAGGGTTAGCGTGCGAAGGTGAGCCTGGTGAAGGTGTCACATCCACACAGGCCTGCCCACAGGAGTGCACAGACACACATACACACAGACGGGCATGCACACATGCATGAGTGCACGCGCGCGCACACACACACACATGGACACACGCACACACGCGTGATGCAGAGACTGGGAGCCCTCACAAAGGAACTACGTCCTACCCACCCCCGTTCCTCCTCAGGCCCTACCCCAGTGACTTCTTCTTCATGGCCGGCACAATTTCCGTTTCAATGTCCACGTTGAGGTCAAATTTCACGGTGAAACACTCTTTGCTTGGGTCCTGAGAGTACAGGTGTCTGTCAGCATCTGCACCGCCACCCATTGCTTACCCGACACACCCTTTGGCCCCGATGAAAATCCCAATGGGGAGGTGAAGGCTGGGGATCCCCAGCCCTACTCCTAGAGAGGCCCCCAGTGTCCCACCTGCCCCCGCCAACATACTCGGGCCAGGTGGGCAGCTCTGAGCTGTAGTCTGGGGGGAGGGAGGGGCATGCACAACTAGACCCCATCCCTGGCCTGGAGTTCACAGCAGGGAGACCAGACTGGGAAAGAAAAGGCCTGGGAGAGAAGTGGCCTTTCTGGGAGTCCTGGCTCCTTACATCTGTGTGCCGCCTTCTTGCTTTCTTCTTGGAGATCTTTAGGCCGGTGCTCTTTCGGTCCCTGGAGGGAAGCAGATATTGAGGTGCTTGTGAGTCCTCCCCAGTGTGGGATGTAAGTGGGAGTCTTGGTGGGCTCCCACCCTTCACCAACTGGAAGTTAACTTGGGTGCATTCTACCCTGCTGCATGTGTGGGACTGTCTGCCCTCTGGTGGCCAACAAGGGCTTCACACACGATGGTTAACTAGTTAGGCTATGAGCAGACCAGCAGGGGCAGTTTCCTCTAGAAACCAAGGCAGAGCAGGAGGGCAGAGGGTGAACCCTCAGTCCTCTGGAGAAGCACAGTGAGGTGTGTGGCTCCTGGGCTCTCTCCTGTGGTCCACACCCACCCTCTTCCATCCACGAAGCTCTCCTCCTCTTCCTCTAGGTCTGCAGCAGGGCTGGTGCGTGGGGGACAGGACCGGGTGGAAACGTTCCGTGCCAGGACAGAGCCTTTGAAGAAAGGGAACGGGATTATGACCCTGGTCCCTCTCTGGTCCATCCTTAACCCTTAAATACTGCCTGTTCTAAAGGCACAGAGCCTGGAGCTCCCCAGTGGCTCAAGACCTTCAGTTCTTCCAAGAATGGGATCTACCGTTATTATCTATGTCCCCAGACCACAGGCCCTGAGATGATACACTCATGATGCCCCAGCCCAAACGCAAACCCACCAGTAGCCTCAGTTACCTTTCTATAGCATGAGGGTTAAGAAAGCCATACCTCAGGGGCTGTCTCAGACAGGGACCAAGTCCACAGCCCGTCCCTTTAGGCCTCCCCTCCCCCTCTACCATGACCACACCTCAAGTCCCAGGAGCCCTGGGGGAGTAGAGAGTCCTTTTGTCTTTCTTACCAGATGGGAAAGGTGACAGCTGGTCTGGGTGTCTTCCAGAGCCAGTCCCTCCCTATTCAGCTGGTGGGGTTTCTAATTCCCTCCCCCAAGTTCCTTCCAACTGACAGCCTGCTCTCCTAGGTCAGCGGCCTGGCATGGAGAGCTCACCCCTAAGTTGCTGGCCTCAAGGACAGACAGAATTGGGAAGAGGGGACTCCCGAGCTGACCCTGGCCAGTGGCAGCTGTGGGAGGCAAGGCGAGGAGGTGTATCTCTAGATGTGTATTTCACATTCCTGTGTTCTGCACATGGTCCCACCAGGGTCCCAATGACCACCACCCAAGCACTGCTTCCACCAAGAGAGGGAATTCTGAGCTGCCCAGAAATCTAGGGGCCAGGCCTCGCCTCTGGGCTTACCTTGTGGAGGCAGGTCGAAGCGAACATGTCCGTCATAATGCTTAGCACTGTGGAACTTGCTGTCACAGGCCTCACACAGGTTGAGGGGTCCCTGGCGGTGCAGCTGCTGGCAGTCAGCATGATGGCATACCTGTGGGTAAAGGGTGCCATCAGGATGATGTCCAGACAGACAGACAGACACACCAAACACTCATACCACTACTGTGGTCATCCCCAACTTCTCCACCAGGTACCCTCTGCCTCCCTTCGTCAATTCATTTGGACAACTTCCCCAAGTACCCACTGCCTGTTTCCAAGGAATGAGACTTCAGAGTCAACAGAGGGGCAGGGGCTACCAAGGGCTTTCTGGCAGGAAGAGCCCCCCAAAAGAAGCTTGACACCCAGAACTGTGATAACCCTTCAAGCCTGGCTGCCCCAGCCCTCTGCTCTCAGGTCTATGGCCTGCCTGAGGCTTGAACAGCAGACTCCCACCTGGACTGCTACAGACACTTATGGAGCTACCGACGAGTCCAAAGCAGGTGTTGTGGCTCGCACATGCACGCGCGCGCGCACACACACACACACACACACCCAAACACACACACACAAACACACATGGACAGACATACACAAAGACACACACAGACACACATACACACACTACATAGACACACTACACACACACACACACAGCCCCTGCCTGGACGCTAGGTCTCTATTTATCATATTTATATTTTTCTATATTTATCTGTTCCTCCCCCTTCCTGGAGAGCTGTCTGTGAGCCTTGTAGCCTTCTAACTGCCAAGGGCCTACTCTCCAATGGCCTGGCCCTAATACAGTCCCTCTTCGCTTCCTGCTTTTCCATAAAAAAAATTTTAAAAACCCAAAACAAAACCAGAAGCTAGCAAGAAGCCCACTGCCGCCCATGTCAGCCGGGGCTTCCTAAATGATTGGCCTTGATCCAATCTGCAGCCAGCTCTTCCTCCCAGATCTGCCCACACACTTTCACCCCAGACTCTCCCATTTCCTGCAGTCAGGTCTCCCTCCACCACACAGGGCAAGCTACCCTCCACCTTATGAACAGAGTCCTGGCTCACTTGACCCTTGGGCATCTGCCCCCCCCCTTCCCTTCAGGGAAAGCTACGCCATCACAGCTTCCATGCAATTCTCCACTCTCCAACAGACTGGAATTATCAGAGTTTTCCCACTTTGGGGAGGTGTCGGTGCTAGACAGGATCTCACACCAGTGTAGCTGGCCTCAAACTCAAAGTAATCCTCCTGCCTCAGCCTCTCTAGTGCCAGTATTACAGGCATGAGCCACCATGCCTGGCTCTCCCCCAGTTTTCATCTTTAAATAGCTCAAGCCTACAGAGTTATAAGAATAGTTCAGCCTTCTGGATTCTGAGACTGTATGCCACATCTCCCTTTGTCATCGCATCTCCTTTGGTGCAGAAATCCCACACGGCCTTGAGCTGACAAGGGCCCAGTAAGTACTCAACCACCAACACTCAGCGTCTCATGAAGTTTGCCTTGAACCTGTGATCCTCCTGACTGTGGCCCTAGAGAACCTGGGATGCCTGGCCTCTACCGCCAGTCCTAGCTGCTATTTGTTGTTTTTTGTTTTTTTGTTTTTTTTTGACAGGGTTTCTCTGTGTAGCCTTGACTGTCCTGGAACTCACTCTGTAGACCAGGTTGGCCTGGAACTCATAGAGATCTGCCTGCCTCTGCCTCTGCCTCCTGAGTGCTAGGATCAAAGGTGTACACCACCACCACGCAATGGTGTTTTTTTTTTTTTAAATTATTCTGTGTGTGTGTGTGTGTGTGTGTGTGTGTGTGTGTGTGTGTGTGTGTATGAGAGAAGACCCTTTAGGAATAAATTTTCACTGGGTGGTGGTAGTGCACACCTTTAATCCCAGCACTGGGGAGACAGATCTCTGTGAGTTCAAAGCCAGCCTCGTCTACCGAGCAAATTCCAGGACAGGCTCCAAAACAATACAGAGAAACCCTGTCTTGAAAAACCAAAAAGAAAAGAAATGAGTTATTTCTTGTATTGCCCAGACTGGGTACAAATGACTCTCCTGTCTCAGCCTTCCAAATAGTTGGGACGAGTGCTGGCAAGATTTTCCTCAAAACCCTACACAATGTCCAAACCCTGACAGATTCAAACTATTTATTCTATGCTCACATTCCTCTGCCTGCCACCTCACGACTTACACAAAGCCTCATACCCTGAACTGGGTTTGCAATCTAGGCTCACACAGGAATTTACCTTCTCTTCTCTTTTTTATTCAAAACATTGACTTCTTGGAGGCGTCTGAATGTTTGACCAGGATAAGACATCACTGATTCTTTTCACCAGTGTGCTGGATGTCAAAATCACTGGGGGAATCTCCCTAAAACCTCTCTTCTCCTCACAGTTGGTGTGTGTGTGTGTGTACGTGTGTGTGTGCGCGCGCTCACGCATACATGAAGGCCACAAGAGAGAGTGTGACGTGTGTGTGCGCGCGCTCACGCATACATGAAGGCCACAAGAGAGAGTGTGGGGGTTGGGGTATGTATAGGAGAGTTTTAGGTTGGTGGTTTCAAGCCACCCAGCGTGGGTGCTGGGAACTGAACTGGGTTCCCCCTGAAGAGCAGTAAGTGCTCCTAACCCTGAGCTCTCAGCCCTCTACCGGCTCCTGGCAACTAACAAGGAGTCAGTGCCTCACACCCAATTTCCAGTCACCTAAGGGCTTCCATAAGCACCCATGGCTGTGCCTGAATCAGCCATTCCTGCCATGGCTGCAGAAGGCATAGGGATTCCCCTTTTCTTTGTCCTGGGCAGGAAAGGGAGGGTCAGGAGGGTCTTACGTAGCTCAAGAGGCCTCTAACTTACTATGTAGGTGAGGATGATCTTTAAACTGCATCGGTTTTCTTTTCCTTTTTGTTTTTATAGGTTTGTTTTATACCATACATAAGAGTGCTTTGCCTGTACACATAAACATGTGTACCGTGAGCATGCAGGGTCCACAGAGGCCAGAAGGGGGTGTCAGGTCCCTTGGAAATGGAGTTACAGGTGCTGGGAATCAAACCTGTGTCCTTTGGAAGAGTTGCTGAGTCAGTACCTGCAGCTTTAACACTGCAGCCCTGATGGCTTCCCCAGATGGATGACATCACTAGCCTGCTAACCGATCTCCCCAGCCCCTCACTGGTCAGCTGGGAGGGTGGTCAGAGAGACCCCTGATCTGGGACGACTCACACCACAGTCACTCAGAACCCTCCAGGGACTCTTCCTCACTCTGAGTAAGAACGGAAAGTCCCCACGGGAGCCTTGACCCCGCTGGTGCCTGGCCTGCAGTGCTAACAACTCTGCAGATCTTTCCTCCGTGGTCTCCCCTGACCTCGTCTCCAGCCTTGCAACTCTGTCCCCTTCCTGTCCCCAGCATCCCACGCTGATGCTACCACACAGTGAGCCCTACAGGGACTGGCATTTTTAGTCTACCAGATTCAAAGCCCTATCTCCACAGGTTCTCAGCTTTTGTGGCAAGTGCCTTTCCTCCGCAGAGCCATCTCGCCAGCTCAGGATCTGTACAGTATTTTGTGGGAATCAAGGTTCACTAGAGTCAGTACAGGTTAAGGGAAGTTTATTTAGGGAGATTACACTTACACAAGAGGCGGGTGACCTGACCACCGCAGGTTCCAGCCCCCAGGATCCACCCAGGCTGTTCCCTGTGACCCGACTAGAAGCAAGAAAGACCTGGGGTCCGGGACCCTCCATCACATCCTGTCCTCCCCTATGACCACGCCCAAGCGGGTGTGGTCAGTGCTACAGGTGTGGGCGGGGTGGATATCTCACTACCGTATAGTTATTAATTAGGCACTGGAGAGTGTTTGGCTGCAAGAGCCTGAACAGAGAAGTCCGTGACAGCTGGGAGAGCAGCGAGTGACTGACATAGGTAGGAAGCAGCAGGGCAGGAGAGGCAGGGGAAGTCACAGCTCCTCTGCCAGGGACCACACTCCAGTCCTTTCCCCTCATCCTCACTTTACACATGAGGAGTGTGAAGCTCTGAAGAGTGGGGGAAATTGCCGAGGGCTACACACCCAGGAGAGCCAGGGCTTGCAGCCAGCGTATGCAATGCCAGACCTCAGATTACTCCTGTCCCTGCCATGGCTGGGTATCAGACAAAGGAGAGGTGGACCAGGAAGATGGATCCTGCAGCCTTTTTTCTTTTCTTTTTTTTTTTTTTTTTTTTTTTTTTTTCGAGACAGGGGACAGGGTTTCTCTGTGGCTTTGGAGGCTGTCCTGGAACTAGCTCTTGTAGACCAGGCTGGTCTCGAACTCATAGAGATCCGCCTGCCTCTGCCTCCTGAGTGCTGAGACTAAAGGCGTGTGCCACCAATGCCCGACCTTGCAGCCTTGAGGGAGGAAGAAACCAATCTTAGTTTGATGCTTGCTGTTTGGGTTCTTGTGTCTGTTCCTCTGGACAGAAAGGACCGGGACATAGTCAGCAGGTGGCCCACTTGCCCCAGGGGAGATGACAGGAACTGGGCCCTGCACGCTTGCAGCAATGGATGTTATGAAGACCCAGATTCCTGTCAGTGGGTGGTCAGGGCTTAAAAATATTTCCAGTTCCGGTTTTAATCCACTGCTAATGAAGACAGGAAAACATGTACCTATAGCCATGAATCCCAGGGAATAAAGAGAATGACCTGGCTTTACTTAGTCAGGGGGGAAGACACCTGCTTCCCTTCAATCTCTTTTTCCAGGCATCCACCAGTCCATCAGCCTGGCCTGGGCTCCTGCCTTCACCCCGATGCTGACTAGGATAGCTTCAGACGGTCAATGGCAGGTGTCAGCTGGGTTCTGGCCTTGGTATGACTAAACTGTGCTAAACTGTGTGTCCCAGAGAAGAGTTCCCAACTCAGGGCCACAACTGTGTTTTTAAATTAAGTCAATATAAAGATGTCAAATTCCGGCAGGGCAAAGTGACTCATGCCTTTATGCCCAGCACTCCAGAGGAAGAGTGGGAACCCTATGAATTCAAAACCACCCTGAAATAAATATACAGTGAATTCTAGAACAACCAGAGCTACACAGAGATACTCTCTCTGGGGGTGGGGGGAGCAGAGGAGGGAGTGCCAATTCATTCAGCTCCTGGTCGGGACTCCCAGTCCAGTCTGGAAACTTGCAAGGCTCTCTTACATGGCATCAGCTACTGCCTCCATCATGTCTCTGACCTATAGTATAGTCTCAGGGGACCCACTGGGCCAGATGCAGGAACTGAACCAGAGCTCCCACATAAATTGACGGTGCCATTCTGGAAGGGCCAGCAAAAGCTGCAAGTTCAGATCAGAGGTTGAGATTGGGCTGGCAAAGCCTCTTAGGTAGCCTTCCCCTTTCCTAATATCACCCCTATGTCAAGCCACAGGGTGTCCCCAGCAGGCTCCTTCCCAACGCTAGACTCTGACCCTTCTTCATAGACTCCTTCGACTTCCTTCTGTCCACCAAACCCACTTCTGTAGGCAGCGGCACCCCACTCCGTGGGAGAAGGCTGGTACATCAGTGGGTAAGTTCCTCTGTGCCATGCAAATACAGAGAAGGACACGGGTACAGCTATCCCCCTCCACCTCACGGAGCACAGGAAAATGGGCTCAGCGTTCACACAAGGGCTGTGGCTAAAGTCAGGAGAAGCAGGGCCGGGTGGCTGAGGGTGTGGAGCAGAGGAAGGAAAGGGGGAGGGGTGGCTTGGGCCCTACAGGTGTGTCCGGAGGCAGCAAACACAAAAGGAATAGAACTCGAGGGGCATCTCTGCCCACCAGCTTCTTAACTGAAAGGTGGGGACCCCCCGAAGCTCAAGCCTCACCTCCATTCCCAGCTGTGTGCAGTTCAGACAGGGGTTCAGCCACCCTGGCCCTCTGGAGTGGAGGACAGAGAGGACCCAGCAGTTAGGTGGGCCCGCTAGGCTTTGACCCACCGACGTACCCCTACCTGGCTCTCACTGCTGCAGGTGTGACCCCAGACCCAGGGGGACTGGCAGTCTGGGGAGGGCAGGTCGGAGTCCAGCCTGGCTGTCGCTCGGCGCCCGGAGACGCCGGGTCCTGTCCCCATGGTGGCTGGAGGAAGCTGTGGTCTGCACTGTGCTCAGGACAAAGTGTGGACTCCCGCTTCCTGCCATTGTGCAGTGCCGCCCGGGGGGGGGGGGGGGGGGGCGGTTGGAGGGGGAAAGCCTGCAGGACCCCCAGCCACTCCCAGAAAGAGCCACTCAGCCTCTAGTGCAGTTTGTAGACTCCGGCTTGGGGCTCTAGACACAGCACAAGAGGGGTGGCAGTTGGTAAAGTTGGTTTACGGGCCAACTCCCTTAAGATCCTAAGATGCTGCTTGTCCGTCCTGCCTGGGGTAACTCTCTTTGCTGGGACTCCAGCACCCTGTTGCATCCTGTGTTGAATCCCATGCCAGCCTCAGTCAAGGCCCTAGGGACCCCTCCCCCCACTACCAAGCAAGAGCCTGGGGTTCCCTGCCCCCGAGGCAGAGGTCAGGGCTGCCAAGGAACACATGACCTGGGAGAAAAACAGGAGGGCGGGGAGGGCTAGTGGGAAAGAATGGAGGAGCTGGGCAATCCCCAGCTGTCCCCCCTCCTCCCCCCCCAGCTGAGCCAGGGAAAGCCCTAGGCGGGAAGTCACTGCCACCTGATGGGGTGAAGCTGTCTCCACTCTGGTTACTAAGGGTTTCTAGACTCATTTCTAGACTCATGGGGGGGGGGCTGCCACTATTTTTTGTTTGTTGGTTTGGATTTTCGAGACAGGGTTTCCCTGTGTAAAAGCCTGGGACTCGCTTTGTAGACCAGCTGTACTGAACTCAGGGATTCACCTGCCTCTGCCTGGGTGCTGGGAGTAAAAGCATCCTCCAATACCGCTGGGCGGTGCAGGAGGTGGGGGGAAGACACACAGCCACTATTACCCCTTCCATCACCTAGGGGTAAAGCAGACTTAGGAGAAATCTGATTACCACTGTGAGCATTATTCTTGGTTGTCAACCTGACCACATCTGGAATGAACTACCATCCAGAAATGGAGGGCACTCCGGTGAGGTTATTTTTTGCTTGGTCTGAAGTAGGTGGGTCCACTTCCAGTCCAGACCTTTGAGGCCGGAAGCCACACCTGTAATATGGGCCGTGTTCTGCTTGAAGCACACATAAGGACACGGAAGAGGAGTTCTTTGCCTGCTTGCTAGCACATTCATTCCCTAGAGCCTACTTCTTCAGGATTCCAGAGTCTACTGAAGACCAGCTGAGACGTCCAGTCTTGTAGACTGAACAACTTCGTGTTTCTGGGACTTTCCATTCATAGCCCACCATGGCTGGATTCTAGTAAATACCCCTTTTAAATACATAAAGAAAAAAGAGATTCATTCCATAAATTCTGCTACTCTAGAGAACTACACCTGGTTTACACCATTTGGGGACTGAGTACCAGGAGAGACTCTACCCAGGAGCTACATCCAAGCCTTGTTTTGTCAACTGAGTACTGTCTGGAGATAGCGTCTCACTCTGTTGCCAAGGCTAGCCTTGAATTTGAGGCAACCCTCCTGACTCAACCTCTTGTCTTTTTTATCTTATGTGCAATGGTATGAAGGTGTCAGATCCCTTGGAACTGGAGTTACAGACAGTTATGAGCTGCCATGTAGGTGCTGGAAATTGAACCCAGGTCCTCTGGAAGGGCAGCCAGGGCTCTTAACCACTGAGCCATCTCTCCAGCCCCCTACGGTGGCAACTTCTTAAGTGTTGGGATTACAGGAGTGAGCCACTGTGCCTGGCCTAAACACAGACCTCTGACTCAGGTTGTAGAATGGTCTCTGTGGGCATTCCTCAGTACCCTGTGAGGAGTGTACACTGTCATTGGCACACTTACCCACTAGACAACCCCTGCATCTGGCACCATGGAGAAAAGGAGAAAGCAGAGACTTCTGGGATTTTTCAGGGCAGTAATTAAGCTTAGACTCCAAAGGCTATCTTCATCCCAAAGGCCACTCACCATCTACAATACAAGTAACTCCCTTGAAACCTAAAACTTGTCATCTTCTTTTCTAAAACAATCCCACCATAGACTGGTTCCCTCTTCATCTCCTAGGTGGTCTCATGTAGTCGTTTGTCCTCTGGATTTCTGGCTGATAGCCCTCAGAGCCCTCATCCCTCATGCTCTGTCCAGAACTCTATGTGCTCAACCTTCAAATGGTTGGCACTGGGCCCCAGTCCTACCGCCCCAAAGGACTGTCCAAATGACCCCCCCAGTCTCTTTCTGAGTCCCTCAGGTCAAATTAATTCCTTCTTAGCGGTCTTATCACATGACACTATTTTGAGTCTTTGTTCTCCATCAGTCCTCCCTGCCAGAGGCAGGCCAGTGGCCTTGGTTCACTCTGTGTCCCTAGCCTTCAGGATGGTCCCGGCACACAACCACAAGCAAGAGCAATGGGTGGCCAAAGGCAAAGGAAGGGTCTTCAGCTATCGAAGACCTTGGGGCACAGAAGTGCTCAGGGAGGTTATCCCACCTGTGGCCACGGGTCAGTGGGGCCTTCCCACTGCTTGACGGAAGGGTTTCCCCCTCTTCCTGGAAACTGTGTGACCCGGGCCTGCTGGCCCCAGAGAAGTGAACTTCCATTCAGAGGTCTTGCCCCCAGTCCTCTGCCTCTGCCCCACAGTCAGACAGCTACTGCCTTCCAGTGAGTGCTCCCAACTTCCTGTCCCGGGAATCTGAGCAACAAATCCCGCTCAGAGAGGCCGAGAAGGAGACAAAGGTTGCGCCAAGGTTGCAGAAGACAAGTTGGCAAATGTACACCTGTACTTGGAACCACTGCCCATGGCTCAGTCACAGGGTGGGGCTGCAGCATGCACACAGGCTAAGCAGTGGTCTGGACAACACAGTCTTGAAGACTATCCTTCTCGCGGAGAAAGTAGAGCTCAAAGACAGCCTGAAGGGAATCCCGCTGGTGTGGGGTGCCTGAGTCCCAGCAAGTAAAGAACACTGGAGCCAAGACATTTCACCTAAAAAGGACTTCCGAGTCACTGGGCTCTGGTCATGCTATGTCTTGGCTATTCTAGCAGGGGTGAAGGCTGCCGCTGAGGAGACCAGGGCCAGAATGTAGGGTCAAGTCAGTGACAGAGTGGAGGAGAGGAAAGAGCCCAAGCAGGGGAAAGACCTTCCACCTAATGGACAGCCAGGAGCTAAGGGGCAGACCTGAGGTCCTGGCCTCTGACTCCCTGGGGAGGGGGGCCCCTTTCTAGCCCAGCCTGGCTCCAGGGTGTGAGTCAGGGCTGCCTTGTTGAAACTGATACCCAGAAACCAGATGCAGAGGCTGATGAATAATGGAGCCTCTGAGGCACCCCCAATCAGGCTCTTTCCTCCCTAGGACATTTTCCCCAATCCCAGAGAGTCAGAGGATTCCGTGGCCATCCATGCTCCACAGAGGGCCAGCCTGACGGAAGAGAGGTTCTGGGTCCAGTGGGAGCTATAGACATGGGGCAGGACCCAGAGTCAGCTCAGTGCTTGGCACACAGCGGACGGCCCCGAGACAGCAGCTGGGCTTCTTGTTTGAAAAGCACACTTGCCCTAGGGTTCTCTAGCAGGGCTGGGCTCCCCTGAGAGATGGCCCAGGGCTCTACCCGCCACCTCAGATATCCAAGGGTGGAGCCTGCATGCGTGGGCAGGCCAGCCAGGGTGTGGTGGCTCTGCCAGGCAGCTCTTACAGCAGGCGGTTCACAGGCCTCCTCCTTTCCCAAAGCCTAGGCCTCACCCTTTTGTCCTGTGGGTCTCCAGGCCTGCTTGGAGGCACCGCCTGACCTAAGACAGATGACGACAGGACTCAGCACAGGCCCCTTCCTCTTGAGGGTCCTGGTTTGACTGCAGTCTGTGAATCTTACCCCCTAAAGCAGCGCCTGGACTCAGGATACCTGCCTCACCAGTGGCACCCGGGGAAGGTTCATGGGGAAGGAGTCTGAAGAGGTTTGTGCCCACCTGCCCCTGCTCTCCCCCACTGGCAGCAATCTCCTCACCTGTGTGAAGGCGGCGCTGGCCATCACTAGAATGTGCCATCTCAGGAGAGGGATTGTGTCCTAGTGGGCACTGGACTTTGATGTGGGGCCCAGGAACAGCAAACACCCAAGAGCAAGGTCACCGAGGAAGGTCACTGGGCATTTGCAGGGCCTAGGGGCCTCTTTGGCTTCTATCTCCCTATCTTCCACCAAGATTTGCCAGGGCCTCTCATTGGTTCATCCAGTCCTCCCTTTCCAAGGCAGCCTGGGCACTTGCACCCCCTGCTGGCCCCCAAGGACCTTTCCATTTGAGACCACTTGGGACTCCTAAAGGGGACAGGGTTGGAACAGTCTCCTAAGTACCCCACAGTCCTAGGCCCCTGCAGAGCCTCCCCTGAATCCCCACTCTCACTAGCCATGGTCCCCACCCCACGGCCACAGGAGTAATGTCTGAACACATTCCATCATTAAATAAGTGGAGCTAGCGTCAACAGGAGCCCTGGATAAGGAACTGCAGGCATTACTAAGAGTCTCCTTAACTTGGACCACTTGGCAGTCCTCACTATAATGAGTCTCACCTAGGGACATCGTCTCCTCCTTACAGCCCAGACTCGAGCTACACATGCCAAACCCAGAGGTGCAGAGCAATGGGAACAGCAGATACAGGCACTGACTCAAGTGTGGGGGTACTGCCACCCACCACCCATTGGGCTGAGGAATAAGGTGTCACAGGGAAGTCCTGCTCATGAACCAGAAGGTGGCAGGATGCCAGGTGGTGGCTTTGAGGGATAAGACAGGCTCTTGGCTATCGAAGTGAAGAATGGGCTTCACTGTTTGTGACAGGCTGGCAATCCACCAATCTATAGCACATTCAAAGTCCCTGGTCATTCACCTGGGATTCAAGACAGATCCAAAGGAGAGGAGACGCTGCCACAGGAGACTGTCCTGGATGGAGGAGCAAGCAGCGGACAAAGCTGAAGCACCCGCTGCCTGAGCCTGTGGGGACATTGCCTCAAACCAGGCTGACTTCTAGTTTTCTGAACAGGGTGTCCTAGAAACAGCCTACCTTTCTCTGGGTCCCTTTGAAAAAATAAAGATGTATTTCTTTTTATTTGACACATGTGAGTATTTTGCCTGTATATGCGCAGTGCCCACAGAGGCCAGAAGAGGGCGTCAGATCCCTTGGAACAGGGATTACAGACAGTTGTGAGCTGCCACATGGGTGCTGGGAACTGAACCCAGGTCCTCTGCGAGAGAAGTCAGCAAGAGAAGCCAGTGCTCTAAATCACTGAGCCATGTCTCCAGTCAGCTTCCCCCTTTCTGAGAGGGTTTTGTTCCACAACCCTTGCTGGCCTGGAACTCTATGTAGACTAGGCAGCTTGGAACTCCGAGTTCTCCTTAGTATTCTTTAGGTTCTTCTTTCTTTCTTTCTTGTTTATTTATTTATTTATTATATGTAAATGAGCACTCCATTCCCATGTTCTCCTTTATTTCAGAACAGGGCACCAGATCCCACTACAGATGGTTGTGAGCCACCATGTGGTTTCTGGGAATTGAACTCAGGACCTCTGGAAGAGCACTGAGTGTTCTTAACCACTGAGCCATCTTTCCAGCCCATTCTTTAGGTTTTTCAAGACAGGGTTTCTCTGTAGCTTTGGAGCCTGCCCTGGAACTCACTGTGTAGACCAAGCTGGGCTCCAACTGGTAGAAACCCCCGCCACCTCTGCCTCCAGAGTGCTGGGATTAAAGGCGCTCACCACGTTTGCCCGGCTCGCCTTAGTATTCTGAATGCTAGAATGAAAGGCATGGGCCATCACGCCTGGTGTATTGCTTTGTCTTTCTGCTTTTTAGTAGACCAAGCTGGGCTCCAACTGGTAGAGACCCCCGCCACCTCTGCCTCCAGAGTGCTGGGATTAAAGGCACTCACCACCTTTGCCCGGCTCGCCTTAGTATTCTGAATGCTAGAATCAAAGGCATGGGCCATCACGCCTGGTGTATTGCTTTGTCTTTCTGCTTTTTGTGTGTGAATGTTTTATCAGCACATACACATGTGCACCAGGTATGTGCCTGGTGTCAGAGAAGGTCAGAAAAGGGTGTTAGCCATCATGTTGTGATTCACCATGTAGGTGCTGGGAATGAAACTCCAGTCCTCGGCAAGAGCAGCCGGCGCTGTAAACCCTGAGCCATCTCTCTAGCCTGCTCCTCTGTGGTTTTTTATTTTTTAAGATTTATTTTTTTTATGTACATTGGTGTTTTACCTGCATGTGTCTGTGTGAGGGTGCCAGGTCCTCTGGAATTGGAGTTACAGACAGTTGTGAGCTGTCATGCAGGGAATTGAACCCAGGTCCTCTGAAAGAGCAGTCACTGCTCTTACCCGCTGAGCCATCTCTCCAGCAGCCCCCTCCTTTTTCTTTTTTAAATAAAAGGTCTTGCTATGTAACCATCCTAGGCCAGCCTCAAACTCACAATAATCCTCCTGCCCCAATCTCTCTTTTGAGTGCTATAATTACAGACATGTACTGTGATGCCTGGCTGGGCCCCTTTTCCGTTGACCCATGCCTGTCACCCTTTGGTGGTTTGTAACTCTCATCCCTCAGCAACCTGTAACCACACTCAGAACTGTGGGGTAGGGAGACACAGTGGGTCGAACAACCCGACCTTCCTTCCCTTACCCCAGAAGGGTAGAGCTGCGGCTCCGGCTCCACGCACTGGCTCTGTGGAGCTGGGCCCTACCAGGCAGCTCCTCTCCTCTGGTCTTACTTGCTAGGCAGGTGCCCCGAGTTTTCAATTGCCCCCCCCCAGATTATTTATCCATAGCCTAGGGCTTGGCTACCGATCGGCTCTGGTCCTGCTCTTCAGCTAACATCTGCTTATAGCTGCCCAGCCTCTAAAGGGACCATCACTTCCAAAGACCCTCAAACCAGGCCATTCCCAAGGGTACCCCAGAGCACTGTCCAGAAAACAGTCCAGTTCTGTCACCTTGCTCATGGCATCCTACCTACCCTGGCTCAGGGACATCAGGGGTGCAGCGCTCCCTCAGCCCCTAGTACACTGTTCTTCATCTGGACACAACCCCGGACTCCTCCTCTCCCAACTCCACACCACTGAGAGAACTCTGGGATTACCACATCCGTACCCCCTCCATCATCCCTATGGATCCCCATCTGCTCAAGGATGGGGGGTCTCATGACTGGACAGTGGAGGAACAGCTCCTAATGTTGAAAACGTGTCTATATGGAATCAAATCTTGCCTCCTTATCCAGGCCCTTGAGGGCAAAGCAGAGAGCATCACCTCTCTCTCTGGAGCTGCTTGGGAACGGGACCCTGAGAACAGGAAGTCCTGACGGAGGCTCAGGCCCTGCCTTGGCAAGTCATCGGCAAAGCATGTAAGTCACTCCATGGAAATGGAAGTGCCTCTAACACCCAGGTGGGCTGCTGGCAGGAGGTGCGCACGCCTGTACTGAGGCTAGCACGGTATTTCCCAGCATCAGCCCTCTGACATGCCCCCTTATGACCAAAGGTGTGGAGCAGACTTTGACCAGAATGTCTGCCATAAGGAGGCTCAGCAGAGAGCAGGGGGTCAGTCATTGTCCTGTGGCTACTTTGTGGGAGGGCTAAGGACACCCATGACGCTCACCTGCCTGAGTCACTCCCCTCTCTTCTCTCCCAGTGTGCAATGTGCATTTGTTGAGCAGAGTCTCACTCTCAGAGAGAGACAAGAGGGCACACCCAGAGCCCCGGAGAGAGGCCTGATTATTCCCCACACACTATAGCTGAAGTCCGTGATTACATCTGGAATTCCCAAACACTGTGACATGCTGGGCACTGTACTAAGCACTCTTCACAGAGGCTTCTTTGAGAGAGCTGCAGTGACCTGCACAGAACCAGACCACTAACTGCAAAGAAACCCTGGAACACAACGGCATGAGCTACTCATACCGGACAGGGAGCAGGGACACCACGTGTCTTAGGGGTCTTCACGGCACAGAGCCCTGACACACAGGACACATGGAGTGTTCCACCTTCCTTCTCTTCAGGGTCTGTCCTCTACTGACTCATAACCCCCAGCACCCCTCCCCTGCTCACTCTGCTCTCCATCTCCACACCTCCTATTCCTTCAGAATGTCCACCATGGTCACCCCAACCCTAGTGAGTTACAGAGGCAGAAGGTAGGGGTGAGGCAGATCTCAGAAGTCCTAGCACTCAAACCCCTTGGTGGAATCAGGTGCAGCCCTGTCTGCAGATTGCCTCTCCTGCTATCGGCTCCTGGTGCAGCTGGGGATTAAGAAGAGACCCTGTCTTCAGAGAGCCTCACCCCAGGGCAAGCTCCACGGGATATGTGTTGTGAGGTAGGCAGGTTCCTCTGCCTCTCTGAGCCTGAGTTTCCCCATGGCACCTAACCACAGACGTTAAGTCAAGGCATCAGCAACGACCTTTGCCACTCTCTCCACAAACGCACTGTCCCTCTCCTCCCTGCTCCCGAATTCTTGCTAGCTCATCCGTTCCCTGGTCCACTCTTACTTTCTTCCTGTTACCACTCCTTCAGGGCATCCCCCTTGGTGGAGATGGTCCCATGGCTACAGAGGAGCTGACCAGGGCAGAGCTGAAGGCTACAGAGGGCCAGCTGCTGAGACCAGCCCTCTTCTCATGCCACGCAGGGCCCTGGGATGGGTGGGACAGTATGTCGTCCCTGTCACCCCTTCAGGTCAGACAGACGCTCCAGGCTCCCAGCAGATGTGTTGAGGGAGCAGAGGCCAGCTTGCTTGCCAATCTGGGGGAGAGGCAGCCAGCCAACACCAGAGCCCAATGCCAGGCACCACCCGTGCCAGCAGATTGTATCTGACATCATTGCCGCCCCCTTGCCTGGTGACCACGGCAACTGGAAGCCGCCCCCTCCTCTGCCCACCCCAGAACAGTCCTCATGTTCCTTCTGACCACGGGCCTCCTGTGCCGGATGAATGGGGGGGAGGATTTTAGATCTCCCACAGCTGGCAGGGCCAAGCTGCATTACAGTTAGTGACGTAGGCTCTGGCTTTGCACACCTGAATCTGAGGTTTAGATCCCCAGTCTACCACTTGCTGGCCACGTATCCATAGGTCCCCTCTCTGGGCCTCAGTTTC